TATGTGGAAAGATATGCTTTTAGCCTTATTTAATTTAATTGATTATAATCATTCAGGTTTGCTATATATATAAATATGTTTTTTCTCGGATTGATAAAAATTTAATTTTTTGTTTTTAGGTTTTATAAGTCGTAATGAATTTGCTGATATTGTTAAACTTATACTCTATGGTGAAAATGATATGGGTGATGTTAATGATGCATATGTTGAAGAATTGACATCAGCAATGGATTTTGATAAAAATGGAAAAATTGATTTTAATGAATTTCTAGGTTAGTTATTGTTTAAAACTAATCATTAAATGTAGAAATATGAACTAAGAGTTCGAATTAATTCTTACTTTTATTATTTTTACTTGCTACACAAAATACTAACTTAGTTTACATCGGATAATTATCTAAATAATATTTCAACCTTGAACTACTAGTGTTCTGTAATATCCCATATAAAAATCCATAATCATATTTCTATCATGTGAAATTTTCCTTGAAAATGATTGAAATATGATGTTGTTTAGATTACTTAGGGCGTACTCAAATTAGTGGTGGAACTATTTTAATTATTAATAAAAAACAGCTTTCGTTCTATATGATTTGATAGTAAAAATAATAATCTACGTTTCTCTGATATTTGATCGTTCTTCGACTAATATTATAGTAATAAAACTTCGATAAGATCTGTTTATTATTATACGTGACGGTAATATTAGATCACATAATGCCTCTTTGGTGTGTATCCTATTCTTAATGGTTTCTTTTTCTTGTCTCAAAAAAAGAAATAGAGAAACAAGTTCATCAAGTTTTTACTTAATCAATTCTCTGGATCGAGCATCATGTGTTTTTTGGTTAAGTCGTTATAATCAAATAAAATCTAAGTGATCAAAATGATTTCGAATCATCGTTACATCGTACTATCAACAAGCTCATAAATTCTTTGAATAAAGAAGAGTATAAAAGAAGAAACGTTCGATAAATGGATTTAACGAATATTATTGAGTCTGAATAACTAAGATGATTATTTCGAACATTTAATAAAATAAAGACTTGATGACCTGGCTTCTCTACTTTTTTTTCTTACTTCACCATCACCATTTTTTTTGTATATGCTAATATGTATAGATGACTAGGCATTAAGAAAGACAAGAAAAAAGAAGAGCAAAAGACAGTGCTGTCACATATAATAACAACAAGCTCTTGTCGAAATTTAATTATTATAATATTAGTTGAAGAATGATGAAATATCAGAGAAATGTTGAACATTCTTTTTACTGTCAGATCATATAGAAAGAAAACTTTCTTTAAGCTTTTAATAAGGAATTGATATGCCTCTGTCACAGGTTTCGACGTACTCTAAGTAATTAATAATAACTCAAAATAGTGTTTACCTATTTTCTTGAAATTTTTTACTGAGAATTTCATTAATTATTTCCCTTCCCTTCAACAATTGATCTTGAGCCTGATATATTCAAATCACATGAAATTTTCAAGATATATTGGGGTTTTTAGAGCTCATTTGGTTACTCAAAGTTCTCTGTAGTCCTTCATTCTATAGATTTATTTTTTTTAAGTGCATAGCAGGATGCGCAAGGTACGCCAGAACTTTTTTTAAAATTATTACTTTTTAAAGATAGAAAAGTTCAATGTCTTGAAAAATTCAAAAAATAGTCCTCTAATTATAATAAAATTTGTGTCATCCCTTACATCTTCGCCTACTCTTTCAAATAAAGAAGAAAAAAAAAGAAATTTGCTACAATGCAGCTTCTTCGAGGATTCGGAAAAGTACAATCAAAGAAGTATAAACAAAGACAAAGCGAATAACATTTTCTGCTTTTCTCAAAAGCAACATATTTTTTCAAGTGATAATGACATATATCATCACAAATTTTGGTAAAAAAAGAGGTGCAAAATAAAAGACAACCATGTCATTTATGAAAGATTAGACATCAAGCTTTCTTCATATGCATTTATCTTAATTTTCATTTTATTGACAAAAATTGGTTTTCTTTTTTTGAAGGGAGGAGAAGGACTAAATAAGTATTCGTTCATATATTTAGAATTATATCTCAATGAATAATTACACTTGAACAATATGTCATAATCTTTGAAAAGAAAGAATCATATTTTATATTCGAAATTCCATTGACAACTTCTTTAACATATCGTGTCATCTAAGTTGATTGAACTGATTAAGTTCTATAAGTAATTGAGATATTCATAAGAATAGTTATTTTTATTTACAAATGTAACTCAATATAGAAATCTCAATTTATTTTTTTATTATTTTAATTAATTTATTTCTAATTATAGAAAGTTTTCGAATTGTAAATATAAAAAAACCTCCAAGTTCAACAAAAAGAAGTGATATTAAAAATAAAACTTCTGGATTAAATGGAACAATTATTGAAGAAATACGTGTATAATACATATAAGATAACAAAATTATGTGCAAAAAAACAAATATTCATTCCTAATATTAATTAAATATAAACATATGGTTTTGAATATTTCTCTCTATATATGTATTTTATTGTTGTCTTTTGTGTATGTTTTTACATATAAAAAGCAAATGGATTATTTTTTTTCATCGATTTAAGTAATAATATAGAATTAATATTAATTTATTTTACAATAAAAATAAAACAAATGTAATTTGATGTATTCTAATGAAATATTAAAGAATTTGCTTTTGATAGTTGATATCTTGCATGTTGAAAGAAATGAAACTTGTCAAGCAAATATTCTTATAAATTATAGAATAATTGAACTAGTTTCTATTTTCAAAACGGAATATCCTGAAGTATTCTAATGAAATAAGATATTGTTCCGGAACTGTCTTCTGTAGAAAAGAAAATCCTCGATCGTGAATGAAATTAATGACAATATTTGCTGATGTTCATTTTGATAATCAGTTATTAATATATCTAGGGATTAGTTCTATATCTGATAATATCTCTTCATTGGTCAAATTCATCACTATCAAAACTATTCTGAAAAATAAAATAAAGATTTTCAATAATTCTTTTTTTTTTTCAAAATGACTTGCATAATTTTATAATTTCATTTCCTCTCATTCTTTTTATTAATATAAAAATTAGATTTCTTTTTTTTTTAATTTAAAATGGTTTCTTTGAGAAAATTTGAGTAATTATTTGTGTGTCGTCAATTATTTAATTAATTAGAAACAAGATAAAAGGCGATTTGGAAAGTACACATTAAATTTCGTAATCATCTTAGACTTTTTTTCTTGTAATGATAATGAAATTTTCATTGATTATCATAAAGCTTAGTAGTAGAAGCAGATATTTTCATGATCCTTCCCTAAGATGATAATCCTTTGTTTTTAATTCTTTTATCGTAGATTACACTGCCAGCTTTTCTTTCCCTGTGTGAGTGTGGGTATGGTTTCATTTCGTTAATATCCACTCATTCCAGAGATGGGCAAGTCAGCTGTTTTTGACCCAAGTCAAGTCAAATCTGACGAAGTTATTCGCCAAGAAAAATTTTAAAGTCGAGTCGAGTCGAGTCGAGTCGAATCAATCATCGATACAGAATGAAAAATTCCAAGTCAAACCAAGTGAAATCATGTTGCAAGCCAAGTCTCAAGTGAATTTTCGAGGCAAATCGCTTAAGCGTTTTTGGAAGTTTCGTTACTTGTCTATTTATAAATTTATTGAAAAAGTTTTATATCAGCCTCTGATCGCATTTTAGCAAAGTTAACATTTGTTATATCTTCCTTGATATTCCGGCTTTATGTTGTCAAAACCAAATACCACTTTTAGAAAATATTCTTTCGATAGATAATGAGGTTACAAATACTATTAAAACCTCCCTTGGCAATTTTTTCAATAATTTATGTCTTATGTATCGATTAATGAAAATAATTCTATTTGAGTGATTATCATCAATCCCAAGATAATTACTAATATCATCTTTGATAAATGTAGCATTACTAACTTTTTTTTTTGTTCAATATTTAAGAAAAAATTCTTGCACTTTGGTGTTAATTGTTGTTATCGACTGGTAATTATGTTCAGTACTATTAATGGAATTTTCATATAAGAACAAAACGTATAATTTTACGCGATGTGGATCTAATACAAATATTATCTGAAAAAATAAGTTTGATTTGACTTATATTTTATTGTCAAGTCACCAGTCAAAAATGACTTGACTTGATTTGCCCAACTCTGACTCATACCCACACCTCATATGTACTATAATGTCATGGCGATTTACTAATCTCAGTTAAATATTTTCATCTTACATTTTTTGAGAAAGATTTTAAAAAACTTTTTTTTCATAATAGTTGTCTGCCGTTCGTCCGCAGATATTTTATATAAGACTTATCATTTTGATGGAATACTAACCATCATAATTGTTAATTATGATTGTATGGACATTGAAGACTTGGAAATTTTGAATAATATTCTTATTATAAAAATTTATTTGTTAATTATAAATATCTTATTATCAAATATTGGTGTTCATCAATCAGATATTATTTCTTTCAATAAATTAGATAATAAAAATTCCAATTGATCTTTGACGATTTTCTTAATGATTTAAATCATTTACTTTAACATAAAAAAATAAAAAACAAGTAAATAGATTTTATTTTTCTTTTCTATTATGAAAAAGAATGTTTTTTTTTTAAAATCAAAACCACAGTCAATCACAATCGAACTGTGTTCTATGTCTAAAACAAAACGAACATTTCTTTTTTTTTTTACAGTTGTCAAACAAATAACGGAGTATTGTTTTGAGCATCATATTTGATAAAACATATGTAAACAACATACGACTAGAAAACAAAAACAAAGTTTATAATGGTTCTACTCTTGGTTAATGATAAGTAAGACGGTTATAAACATAAGACGAGAGAAGACTCGACTAAAGAAAAATGACATAAAAAAAACAAACAAATAACAAAAACACATACACATAAAAACAAAAATTTGTTTCAATGTGCTAGAAACATGAAATAAACAAAACAATGAACTATCATATAAGAGCTGGACAGAATAATTTACGAAGACTATTATGAATTAATTGTTCCACTGTTTGTTGATTAATAACAACATTTAATGTTGTTGTTGTTGTCATAGGTGTTGTTGGTATTGTTAATGAAAGAGGTGATGATGATAGAGTTATTTGTTGTTGTTGCTGTTGTTGTTGTTGACAATAATAACAATGTTCATATGTTATAGAGTGAGCTTCTATTGGTTGTATTTGAGTAAATCTAAACAAACAAAATTCTTCGTTGAAATTTTTCTATTTTTGAATTTTACTTGGTCTTTAATGAATGATTTAAACGTGATGATGATGATGATGATGATGATGTTGGTTTTGATTGATTTCTTTTAACATGTTTAAGTCGTTGACGTCGATTTGCGAACCAAGAACGACATTGTTGTGCTGTTATATTACCTTCTGTTATAAAACGGTTTTTATCTGATGAACGTGGATAAGGATCATCCAAATTAGCATTATACCTTAATATAGAATAAATTAAAATAAATAACGTATTAAGAGTAACATTTCTATTTATTAACCATTCTTGCATTAATTTAACAGCATGTTCAGGCAATTTATGATAATATTTTGAACGTAATGAAGAAACACGTGGTAAAAGTGGTGCCGGTAAACAAGTCATTGGTCGTTCATTCATAACTAATGATGAATGTGTTCGAGACTTAAAAAAAATACATTATTCATACATAAAACAAGATGTTTGTAAATGATTGTTTCACTCACAAGTGATTCAACATGATGTTTATTATTCATTGTTTGATCAGAAATATTTATATTAGTAGTATGCATTTGTTCTATGATTTCTTGTTGTTCTGATTCTATAGATTGTGAATGTGCCTGTTGCTGTTGTTGTCGTTGTTGATTAAAACCATTAAAAAAGTGTTCTATTTCAAAATAAATTTCATCATCATGTGATGTTTTTATTATTGTTGATTGATTATTTGGTGCAACAGCATCATCTTGTTGTGATAAACATAATGGTGTAAATGGACTACTTGTTGTTGGTAATGGTGATGTTGATTGAAATGTTGTCCAATCCAAATCACTATGTGAACTATTTGTATCATTTGTGAAAGTTGAATCAGTATTAAAATCAAAAGTAAACGAATCCATTACTAAAAATAAATGATTAAATGTTTTAAATAAATAAACAATAGAAGAAGAGAAGAAATGAGAGAAAATTTTACTTACACATATGACCTGTCTCTTTTATTTTTCACTGTTCGTTTACGGACATTCTAGTTGTGATCATCCAGTGTTTTTTTTTCGTTCATATATGATGCACATATGGAAGACCTACTTGTATTAATCACATTTTTATCTTGTCAAATATATGTGTTAGAAAGTAGCTGGTGAAACATATTTTTCGTTTCTTTTGATTTTCTTGCATTCTATACTTATATCCAGGCATTTATTATTTCAAGTTAACTGTATGTCTAAAGTTCCAGAAACAAGGAGAAAGGAATGAGAGAGAATGACGCATTTCGTTTGAATAAAGACATGCACTCATTATAAAAAACGATTTAAAAGAACAAGTATTTGAGATTTTAATAGTTTCAAACAATGATCTTTATATTTTTATTTATTTGATCGATAGAAATATACATACATGAACAATATTTCTAGTATGATTTCATTTAGATGAAACTAAATATCTTAGACAGAGCTACACGTCGTTCTTGAAGTCAATGATGTTAGTTCAGAGTAATATTTCTTGACTTTTTTTTTTTGAATAAAAAGTGTTCGAACAATCTTCTATCACTGATAAAAAAAATATCAATCCATTTGATTAACACAAAGTGTAGATATTCAAATTTCTTATTCTATTGCTATTTATATCTTGTCTAGTATACTTATCATATGATTAGTTTTAAGATAACTGCCGAATCGATTAAATATTTAATCTCTTTATCTAATGTTTGAAAACTGAATTTGAATTAAATGAGCGTGTGATAAAAAATGTCGGGTTGATTTTCATTTGTATTTGTTTCAAAAGGATAAAATCTAGAAAGGAATTCATTTGCTGAATAAAATTTCATGTGAAATTACAAAATACAAATGAAAAGTATTTTTATCCTTTATTGATTTCAGAGATTTTACTAATTAATCACCTATTCTTTCAAAAAACAAGAATTCAAATCAACTTGGAGTTTTTTGTATTTCAGGTTGGTTTGACTTTGCAAATGAAGATTTCCTATTGTTTCCTTTGCTAAATAATCTATGAATCTTTTTTTTATTTTGAAACATACAAAGATATAAATAATATTTATATAAAGAGAATTTGTTAAGTTTTCATTATATGTTTTCCATAAGTACTGGATAAAAAATATTAAGTTCATTTAAATTTCAAAGATTTCTTTACAGTTAAAATCATATTTATCCTAATGTCAACGCAAGTTAATTCAAAAAAAACACACACCCACAAAAAATTTAAATTTAACGCACAAATTTAAACTCTTTCGAACAGTGTAAATATTACAAAAAGAAGAAAAAAAGCTTCTCGATTAACTTTCTAGAAAACAGATGTATCATAGAAATGAGTATCTTTCATTCGTCTACCATTAAATGAATTATATCAATAATTAAATATTAATGAATTCTTGAAATATAAAAATTTAATTTGTATTTTTTTATTTTTGAACTAAAAAATAAGAGCAATATTTTCTTCTAGTCGTCGTCGTCGTCTTCTTTTTTTTCTTTTTGACAGCACTTTCTTTTCTCCTTTTGTTATTATTGTTTTTTATTGACGAGTTTCTGCTTTTTCCCCACTTATAATAAGAGGATCGCTTAGTGAATTTTTTTTTTTTTTTTTTTTTTTAGTTTTTTAACAAACAAAACAGTTAACCAGACGCGTGTCCTTTTTGCCATGTCAAACAGTGTCGTTTTTATCGAGCAGCTTTTCATTACTAATCTATAATGTTTTTTTTTCTTCTTCATCTTGGTAAATATATATGATGGATTCGAAGAAATAAAAATATTGATTGAATCAAAAATTATATAACGATTTTATTTTCTCATTTGGTTTACTGAAGAAAAGCAGATTTTTTTAAAGTTTTATTAAAGGAATGTATTCGTAAGTAAAAACGTTCTTTCTTTTTTTTTGTCTTGTTGCATATAAAACTATGAGTTATTTACAAAAAAATTAGAATAAGATTTGAAAATGAAAAGTACAATTAAAACGACTTATATTTTATGCTGAATGAAACAAAAAGAATTTGTTTTTTTCTGGGAGAGAGAGAAAGATGAGAAAAGTTATATTCTTTCGTTAAATAGTTCGTTAGTTAAATTAATAAAGGCGTTGAATAATGATGCACTAGAACAAGTCCTTAAATTTACGAATAACAAATTACAAATTTACTTTGAGTGAAATGCAAATTGCAAGTGGTACTTGAAAACTTTTATCTCAAAATTTTGTTTTTCTTTTTCAATGAAGAAATATTTAAATTTGATTTATAGTTTTTTTCGTAAATTTCAGTTTAAAAATCAAGAATAACAATTTAGTTTATTTAATAAAGTATGTCAAATCTATATTCGAAATTAAATATCTTACAATCTTCGTTTTCTTTAATACAAAACAATAAATATCATAAGCAAATCCATGAGTAAACATTTCTTGAACCTGATTTCATTAGAGTATACTCTTAAAATCAACAGGAACAACTTTCAAAGCGTATTGTTTATGCGTATACAATGATTTCTCTTTATTTCTTGTTCATCTTTTATGTCATTAGTTATGGAAACAAAATTTTTCATGAAATTTATGTCCTTTAATTATATGTAAAAATCATATATTTTATTCTTTAGTAAAAAGAAGAATAATTGTGGCGTTCGTCTACCAAGTTTATATTGTCAAATACTTATTAAATCTGAATTTGATTATCGACGTGAAATACGTCGTAAATTAGATCGAATTCAACATGATAATCGTGATTCAATGCGTCGTCATTTTGCTAATGATCATGTTTTTGCACATGATCTTTTAACAAAACGTCATCAATGGTTTACTATTGATAAATCATATCGAGATACATGTAAAATAATGTGGAATCGACAAGCAACAGAATCAAATCGAAAAAGTCATTTATTTTTACCAAGTATTTATTCAACAGAAAATTCTTCGCCAATAAAAATGACATCTTGGAATACTGATAACAGTACGGATATAGAAGAAAATTCAATAATAGCTAATGAAAAAATTAAACGAGATTTTTTATGTAAACAACCAGTGATGTTAGAAGTTTTAGGTGCACCACACTCATCACAAGTGTTAAAACATAAACAAGAAGTAGAATTAAGAAAACAAAGTGCTCAAAAACGACATGCTCATATTCAAACAACAGCAATAAATGACAATCGTTATAGACAACTTGTTAATTCATTACAAGACGATTGAAAATTTATTTAAATTTTTCTTCAAAGTAGTATCAAAATAAAAGACATTTTCTCTAAAAAACAACCAGTTCAGCAATATTTTAATACCAATATAAATATTCATATTAGTTTCAATTCTCTTGTCAAGACAAATATTAATATCATTCTTTGTTTTCAAAACTTACCAATCATAACTAATACAAAGAAGAAAGAAAAATAAAAGAATACAATATAGTATTGAATCGAAGTAAATTGTAATTGAAATATTGTATAATATAGTTGATGTAACTAGTATCTTCAGTTTATTTGATTTGAACATTCATTGATATCATGTACTCGCTTGTTTATTTGCCATTTTAACGGAATAATATCTAAATGTACAACTTTATTGTTGTAAAACTTCATTTGTTTTTTGTTAAATATACTTTCACTTTCTTTAAGTTTATCTCAATAATATTCAATCGATAGACGAAATAATCAAAAGAAGTCGGTTATTTAAAACTTTCTTCTATGAGACAAGCAATTAATTATACCACTACTATGAACAAATGATGTCATAGTGTATGATGATCGTTTCATATTTTTTTTTGGTATATATTACAACATTCTTAAACTTGTTGCATACCTACAGGTAATTTTAATTGAAACATACGGATAAATGACAATAGCCTAGGGTGCAAAAGTCTTCATACAAAATATTCGCTCATTTTTGGGATCATTTAAAGACAGTTGTTGAGAGTCAGATATAGTTAGTTAGAATTAGAAATTTTCGCTCTTTCAGAAGATATGCTCAGTATTTTCTTCTGAGAAAAGATTGGACTACTATCATAAAATTATTTTAAAAGATCCACACTCTAGTCATTGGACAGAGCACTATTTTAATCAATTTTGTATTTCAATCAAAACCTGTCAAATTCAAAATGCGAAACAATATTTCAGAATTTATCTTTGTTTATCTTGCATGACAGATTTTAAAATAGCGACTTTTTTTTATCAATGCCAATTTCCTAGAAACTAGCTCTTTAGTGGAAACGCATGAATGAAATTTCACGTAATATAATATCTCATTTTGTACACAATTCAGTAATATTGAGTTGAAGCTGTTCCAAGATACAAAACTAAGGACTACACCACAACTGCTATTTTGCTTTGTACAGATACAATTTTGGATTTTTTCCACAAAATTTCCCAATAATTGTTCAATCTTACTACCAACAAGAACTCTGAACATATATTCGGAAATAGCAACAAAATTCCTGATTCTAACTCATTACTTCTGACTGTAATCAATTATCTTTTACTGTTCGAAAAATGAACGAATATTTTATGTCAAGACTTTTGTGCAATAGATTATCCATTCTAATGTAATAAAATAAAGATAAAATTTTTCATAAGTTTTAATAGATAAAAAATCGCAAAGAAAAGTTTCGCTCTCACACAAAACGCACACAAGTTGTTTCGTTTCAATGTAATGCGAAAAGAAAAACAAAAGAAAGAAAGTATAATAGAAAACAAAACACAACAACAAAACACAATAGCAAAGACATAGCACATTGATTTGAACAAACAAACAAACAAACCAAATGTCAAAACGTATGTTTCTGTGCGATGTTCTTTGATTTTTTTTTATGTTGAATATCTTTTTATTTTATTTTATAACCAAAATCTTGTAATACGATCAACATTTGTTTTCTTTGGTGTTGTTGAAGTATTTGTCGTTGATGTTGGTGTTGATGGTGCTGTTGGTGTTGAAGGTAATTGAGGTAAACCAGCTGCAGCCATCATTGTTGTCATTAAATGTTGTTGCATCATAAACATCATCATTGAAGCAGCCATTGGATTAAATAATGGAGGATTAGGACCTGAAAAAACATTATTAAAATCGGGTAATGATGTTGGTGTTGCTATATTATTATGATTAATAATATAATTATAATTTGTTTGTGGTCGACGTGTTTGTGTCGTTGTTGTTGTCGTTGCAGTTGCTGATGATGGTGTTGATACAATCGATGAAACTTGATTTTGATTTTGATTTTGACGAATTGAAGATAAATTACGAGACTAAAATTAAAATGATAGAAAACAAAATATTGAATAAAAGATTGTTTACTTTACGAGATCGATATAATGGTTTATAGCACATTTGACTTCGTACACGTTTATTTGCAAACCATTTTTTAACTTGTTTTTGTGTTATACCTATTGAAATATTATTTTATCTATCAAAAAAATTATTCTTAGAGAATTTTATACCTGCTTCACGAGCTAAACGATCAGTACGTTCATCATCAGGATATGGATAATCACGATTTGATTGAAACCAATGATTAAGTACAGCAACAGCTCGACTACCAAGAAATCTATTTTTAATATTTAAATAAACAAAAAAAAAATTAATTTTTATTCGAACTAAATTCTTCCTTACCTCGTATTTCGACATTCTTTATCATCAACCGGTGAATGTGATCGTTCTTGATGTGTTGATGATGAACATGTACTACTACTTGTACTTGGATGACGAATATGATGAGAGTTTATTTGTTGAGATCGTAATGGTGTACTATGATAATGATGACGATTTCGTTCTATTAATACATAAATAACTCAGATATTTCATTGTTCAAAAATAAAAATACACCCACATTCACACCCTACCCCAACTAATGCCCATTTAAAAAAAAAAAAGACGAGCGGATATTTTTCAAATAACTTCTGATAGAAACAAGATAGAACATTGTGGTATTGACCATTGGAAAGAGAAGATGAGGTCGCATCAAATCATATATTATAGATCATCTTAAGGTGTTTTCCGAATTTTTTTTATGCTAAAGAGTATCGAAAAAATAATTTCTTTTAACACAAGAAAAAAAGCAAAAATCTGATTTTTGTTCACAGCACTCAGTTGAAAAATCGGCCAAGTCCATTGGTAGTTTAGATGCACATCTGATTATTGAAAACCTTAAAAACCAGGCAGAGAAAATTTGTAATATACAATTCGATGCGTCTTCATCATTTCTTTCTAAAGATGAAAACTGAAACGCTCTATTTTGTTTGCATGAAAAGTTATTAAAATACTTCCCACGATTTTCATCTTTTATACATTTATTAGAGAAAGAATCGGTTCAGATTTTTTTTTTTTGAAAATTTAAACGGAACCAATTCCATTTCTAGTATTTACTCATATATATTACCTTGTTTAACCATAGTTAAGTCATTATTTTCATCGCTTGTATCAATAAAACCACTATCATAAGTTGATTTCTAAAATAAAAACAAATTTAATTAGTTGAGAAAGAATTTTAATATAAAAATTACTTTTATATGAAAATTATTTCTTTGTTGATTATTATGATTCGTATGTTGTTCATCTTCACTAGGTAGATATTCATCATCATCATCTTCATTTTCAATTGAAGGTGATAATAAATGTTGTGGTCGATTTGTTAGATCTAATGCATCGGGTTCTTGTTTAATTGTATATTTCATACGATTCATTCTATATGTTTTTTTTTCTTAGTGAAATGTTTTTTGTTATTTAATAAAATGATATAAAACAGAAAAATGATTTTTAAATAATCTCGAATAAAAGAAGAGAGAAAGAGAGAGAGAGAAATAAAAAAGAAAAGATTCTTCTATAGGTAAACAATTTTGAAAAGGAGAATTTTGTTTCTATTGAAGGTTAATGACAAATCATAATTGATATAACATCAATTATATATTGATCATTCTTACCTAATATATGTCAATATATATATATATATATATAGACTGACTGAAATATCAAAACAGCTGATGAGAAGAATGAAGAAAACAAAGAGATATTGTTAGTATATATGATATATTCGAAAGAGAAGACATATACACGAAGAAGAAAAAACGAAGAAAAAACAAGATCCTGGTTGTATATGATGCTCACAACACGTGCCTCTCGATTACGATATATGACTATAGTGAACTAAATCATATAAGGGTTTATATCTCATGATTTTTCTTTCTATAGAATGATGTATATATGTGCTTTTCATTTCTATTTTTCTATATATTCTCTTCATGCTCAGTATATTCGTATTCAAACGATGTGTTGGTTGGGATAGATTTATGAATCATCATTATAGAGAATTCTTAATTCTCGTTTGTTTAGAATGATTTATATGTAACGTTTCACATTCATCTGTTTCTAAAAGAAAGTCTTTGTCAAATTATAATCAAATCTTTTTGTCTATGTAATAAAAAAAAAAATAAAATATTGACAATTTATGGTTGATGATTATAGATAAAAGTATTAGTTATAAAATCAAATTTTGACGAATGTGATAAATAATAATGTAAAGAAAACGTTGTTTTGAAAAACAATTCAGAGATTTTCCAGTTCTCGTCCATCTATGTTATTCATTGTAAATATTGTATTAATTTGAAATTTTAATAAGTTGCTTTGATCATTGTCAATTGTAATTGGTAAAATATATACGAATATAAGACGATTAGTGGCGTAATCAGACAGGCTCATCCTCGCTATCTACCGTTGAGCTTCGCTGTCTGTGCTCCCTGAACATCTCCACCCTCTTTTAAAATAGGATCAAGAGGCTGAGTCTCATACAATGTTTGTCAGTTATGCCATTAATAATCACGTTCATTGAACAAGCCTATCCGTATGTTTATACTTGATAGTAGAATCAATTATCTGGATATATGAAGTCTTTTAGTATATTAGTAAAGTTTGGTGATGTTTAGTTTAATAAGACTCTCGAAATTATTCGACCAAGTTTTTCTTTCAATTTTTTTTTTTGGTACCGTAAACACTGAGAAGAGTCGAACTAGTAATTTAAGTAGAGAACTTTATGTTCAACAAGAATTTTCCAAGATGAAAATGAATGCTATTTTCTCAACGAAAGATTTTCTGAAACATCAATTTTTTCAGCTCCTCGAATTTGCAATCTCAATTCTGTTTTGAATTATCGAAGAATGATAAAGTAAACAATTCCCTAAAAACTGAAACATTTTCCAATTTTCTACGATTTTTTTGCAATTAAGATTCATCAACATTACGAAAGTCGTTTTTTCTTGTTATTTTGTATTTAAATCTTAGTTTTGTGCCTTTTGTTCAAGTTAATGTATCTTGATACTGAAAATCTCATAGAAAACTGAACCACATTCCATTTTGTAGAGAATTGTTTGTTTTTTCATCCTTGGTGACTCAAATAGAATTGAGATTGGAAATTCTATGAGATGAAATATTTGGTTTTTCAGAGATCATTTCCTTAAGAAACTAGTAATCATTTTACTCGTAAAAATTCTTTATTCACATCACTATTTCAGTGCTTCTCAGCGTTTATGACATTGGAAAAAAATTTGAAAGAAAAACCTGGTCGAATAATTTTGAGAACTATTGTATATGATCAATGTGTCTCAAAATATCAACGTCTAAAAACATATAATGAGTGAGAGAAAGTTTTTTATTTTATTTTATTATTTTTGTTGTAACACTGATATTTTCTTTCCGCAACGGATATTCACTCTAATGATGTGTTGATCAATTTTTCTTTTTTTTTTTTTTTGTTTTGCTTTTCCTTATTGAATTTTGTCACTTTTTTTCTGATACATAATTTCTAACAATGATATGTTAAATTTGTTTTCAATTAAACTAACAAGAATATATTCTATTCTTGTTCGTTTGATCAATTTTTTTTTCTATATTCTTAGATAAAATTTTTCCTTGATTGAATTGAAAACATATGTTTGTCAAATGTTATAATTAGACAATTGTCACAGAGAAACAAAATGAAGAATTGATTTTTTTTCAAATATGATAGATAATGTTTTTTGTTTTAAATATATTTACATGAGAAAAATAATTCAATTAAATAAGATTGAGTGTGAATTGTGTATGATTTATAGAAGTATTTTAACATAATTTTAAGTTATAGAGTTTGATTTCTAGTTGAAAAAAAATGATTTTGATATTCTGAAATGTCTTATAAAATATGAAATTAATAAAGAAAATAATCTTTACAGTTTATCAATTGGTTTGAATCAATTGTACACATCTTCTGAATTATTTAATAACCTTTTAATTTTTATGTTAAGCTTTTGGTAAATGAATATCATTCTCGTATAGAAATATTGTATACGATGTAAATTTGTCTCAACAACATTTTTTTTGGGCATTTCTCACTACAAAAGAATTTACAGTATGTCTTCCTAATTTCAATTGCCTCGGAACAATAATACATTAGAGAATAACTTTCTCCGACTGTCGAAAATATTTTCCTTCTGCTCTGATTTCTTCGTATCGTTGCTGCTTGTGTGAATAATTTTATTTGTGAAATGAAAAACTTCTTGGAAATTTTGATTAAAGTTTGAAAACAAAAAACGTTGAAAATCAAGAATCTCTTTCAATTTATTTGGTAGTTTTAGTCTAAGATTTCTTAATATCAGATATCTGTAAAGAAAACTGACCTAATTTTTTTTCATAACAATTTTTTACACTGGTAATAGCTTCTTTTCATGTTTATATATGAATTTAAAATAAAAACTTAGGTAACTTTTCTTGTTTATTAGAATAACTTTTCTGATTGACTTAAAATAAGAGATCCATTTTAAAAAAATGTTTCTTTTTTGGGAAGAAAATCTAGAGTTATTATGATTCATCAATCAAATCATACTCTAGATAGGATTTAAAATTGTATTCATTGTGTATTCCTCTGGTTTAAACTATTATTATTTTAATGATATGCTAAATACAACACATTTTCAAACAAAAGAAAAATCAGGAGACAACTCCCAATAAAAGATAGATGAATCTTTTATATAATTTCATTATTTGTAATTTGAAAAATAAATCTTTTTATATTTCTTATGCCAATATTAAAAGCTTTGATAAAATTAAATTTTTCTTGGTCATGGTTATCATCAATTATTTATCTCCATCCAAAAAGAATTGGGGTTTATTAGTCAATGAGAATATGTAACATAGACTCATGACATGAACAAATGTCTATTATATTTGGATCAATTAAAAAGTTTGTTCAATTTGACAAAGATATTTAAATTTTCTTTTTTTAATAGTAAAGTTCAGAATTATTGTCATAATAGTTTACACGAAGTGTTGTTGTTTCAATCTAACCTTGACATGTCTTTTCGTATGTGCCAACAGATTTCATATAAAGCATCTCAGTTATCATTTCATTGACTACATATATATATATATATATATATCTAAAGATGTCCAGTATTTATATAAAGACTGATAGTGAGTCACCGACACGGGATTCACTGGAGCACTGACTATATTGGCGTCCGCATTCGCTATAACATTGCGACACTAACTCTATCAAAATATGGTATTTTTGCAGCGATGTGTTTTAATATTTGAGTGAAGAGTAACTATACACGAAGTTCGCGGCTAATAAACTGAAAGCACACGTCTCCATATATATATCTATATGGAGTCAACACTAGTAATGGGTTTTTATACACTATTACAATATCTTGTAAAAACAGTGATGAAATTCATGGTCGATAGACGGAAAAAAGTCCTCAAGGAGACATCAAAAGATAACAACAACAGCAAAAATAACAATGCTTATCAGCGTTTTAATAGTAAATAGATTATCCGTTATCATCAGTAGTCTTCTAAAGTAGATAATAATGCTAATTATAAACGTATGAGTAGTGGAAATTATATTGAAAATAAATTATTAAATTAAAAGCTCATCACAATGAAGTTCTATAGAAATTCGTTATAATAAAGTGAATCACATAGGAAAGATATATTCTTCTTAGTTTTCTTAAACAAGAAACAAAAATTGAAATTATAACTCATCCGACACATTCGTCTAGAATTGGCTATTTCAGACTTTTAAGTTCTTGAGCTATTTTTGAAATAGAGTATAGACAAATTTTGATGCAAACATTTTCACATCCTCATACCATAGAAATTCAATTCGAAACTTATGAATATAAAACTAAGATTTCTCAAGATTGAATTGAACTGATGAAACTTCATATCAAACATTGCAACACTTATCTTGAACATTTGAGTATAGATATTTTACAGTGTTAGGAATAATATATAAAATCAAATATAAAATATGAAGAATTAAAATTAAATTACCACTTATAAGATTGATTCAGAAAAAAAAGTTCAATCATCCAATTATCTGAGTTACATTAACCATTACTTCATATGAAAACTTTCTCAAAAACCAAAAGGATTCATGTTTTTTTTTCTAAACAATTATTCAGCAAAAAATTTCTGTATATCTGCTTATTTGAACATTATAAAATAAAATAATTTTCAAATTTAGTTTATTTATTAACTAAAAATTTAGAAAAAAAAATTAATTCAAAAAGAATCCATTGTTTATCAATATCTAACGACACTTTATAATAATTTTTATCACAATAATAATAAAATACCAAATACTAAAGCATAAAATTCAACTGTTCATTATTCTTATTAATTTATTTAATCATTTTCAATTGTATCATCGTCA